TAGCCTGGTTTTCACCATTCAAAATACCTACAAGGATACTTGCACATGCCCGTTTGGGTTCCTTTCTGCAATATAGCGACTCATCTCCGCCACTCAGCGGCAAACCTTCCAACAGAACAGCATCTTTTCTTGCTCGCTTACAAGTCCAACGACGATGCTGCAAAATCTCGCCAGGTTGACCTTGGCCGAATCTGTGTCTAATGAGAGTGATCAGTACTTTCAGGCGGGTGTGTCACTGAGATCGAGCGTAGAAAGAAGAGGCCCAAAAGGGTAAAGAAAAGAAGAAAGAATCGGCATGAGAGAACCTTATTACTGCGAGGCCAGCTCCCATCCCATCACGTCGAGAAATAACCTCCCGTTCCGTCCCAAGCAGCCTGGGTGGAATCGGCTTTCGTGGCGAGGCCAAAGGTGGACGGAATTGTCGGGTCAAAGGCAAGAAGGGAGACACCTTGCGACGAGACTTAGGTCGATGGAGCCCCCCTGGGCAATGCCACGTGTCCAGCACGAAGGATCCCCATGGCTGCAATTGTACTAGAGACTGCCGCTCAGCATGTCCGTTCCTTCAGACCGCAAAAATCAGTTCAGGAAATGAACTGACGAGACGTAATCTAGAAGGATGGAGGTATCCCATCCCCCACACTGTCGCTCCAGCATTGACTAATTAGTTCGGTCGTTGTCCTCTTCCTGGTCGTCCGTACCATGCCGCCGTTTGCGGATTGACCTATCTTGTCGAACTCCTTCGCCTCTGACTGAGAAACTCTTAAAACGGACCTAATCGGGTTTCGTACCCGGGGCCTCTCGCAGGTGTTATTAGGCAACAATTTCAAGTAATGCGGTAGGCTATCTTACATCTTGTTGGCTCGGCGGCAACGGGTCTTTGATTTCGATGCTGGAAGTGATTAGAGGCACAAGAGCTTACAGCGGCGTCAAGACTCCGCGGCCAAGCCAACCGAGCAGATTTTGATCAAATTCGCTTTTCGAACCCCTGAAGCACAAGTTTAACTTATCAGACGCCTGCTCGCCAGCCGCTTAAATGTTGTGTGATGAACGCATTTGGCGAAGGAATTTTCGAAAGAGAGGCACACAAAAGCTGTCGCTAGTAGTCTATATGTGGAATGGGAGGGTGAGGAACAACGATTTTCCAAGATACTGGACCAAATGCAGCTCCCGATATGTGCTCCTACATCATCTCACCGGTGATCGCGTTGTGGCGTCAGGTACTCTGCTCTTTCTGGGAAACCCAGAGACAAGACGCCTCCCTCGGTGAGTTACTCACCCCCGTTCCCGTGCGAGCTCTCAATGGCAGGCTTAAAAGCACTCTTCTACACCAACCCGACTCCTTCTCGTCCTTCTTCTCTTTTTCAACCTCACATCTTATCTTGCTCCGCGAGGATTCACTTCCGTCCACCGTCTCCGTATTCCATACGGGATTGTCTTGTCGTCGCGTAGGCTCTGTCAGCTCCGACACTTTCGGACGGAGTACGTGCCGACTCCTGAGCCGGTCGTTGCTTCCACACAAGATAGTATGAAGCCATCTTCGCCGTATACCCCTGAGTCGCCATTGTATGATGTGGCGATGCCTTCCTCCGGTATATTCCAGCTTAACCCCGACTCCTTGCGTCTGATAATGGTGAGAGCCTATTTCCGGCGGCGATATTCAATGCGTCCCACCTGACAAGCAGTGTCCGCCATGACGCATCTGTGATAACAGGAAATTCGATTCTCTGTTTGTCGTCCTCTGGCCCTTTTTTCACGCTTTGATCATTTCTGTGGTATTTCTAGCGTGGTTTTGTCATGAATCTCCTCAGAAGATGGTATCATTCAGTGATCCTCTGCTCATTCGTGCCAACTTCAGTGTGCTCTACCCATTAATGAGGTGTCGCAAAGAAGTTTCGGCGGACGAACTGAGAAGGCGGAGGCCCGCAGATCAGTAAGAGATTGATAGGAACCTTGTGAACGAGGACTGTGATGAAATCCTTGCTGGGATCAAGTAATTAGCAGCATACATCGTAGACCGTCATCCAACTGATGGACGTCATAGGATATTGCGAGTCATATGCACACTGACCAGCTAGGCAATCTCCAATCCAACACTCTTTCTCACACGCGACACGCATGCGGTTGCCACAATGCTACCCATGTCACTTGCGTCACCACCAAAGAGAAGGAAACTGGAGAAACCTCTGCCATCTCCTATCGTGGCCTGACGACTTTCCCGCTTCTACCGAAACATTGCTTGCGACGGGGCGCGAGGGCCACAGTCGGCGGTTTCCGAATTCAAGACATGTTGAGTCTTTCTTGGCGAGGAGCTTCCTCGTATGTGGGCTATACAGATTCCAAACTTCGTGCCAGTATACCACGATCGTAGCAAATTCAATGGTATCGAAGTCATGGATATGTCTGAGAAGATTAGTGACGAGGAAGGGGGGATGAACAGAAAGCTTTCGCAATGGGGAGGGTTCCTTAACCACCTCAATTTCCGCTTCTGCCTGTTCCAGGCAGTCTGGTCAGCAGAGATGTAGACTTGGGAAGAAGCGTATTCGAACCCACATGGCCGAACATACGCCCTTCTTGACCCTTGCATCTGCCGCCCGTGGGATCTGCTCGTTGGGCCTGGTGTCAATATGCCTTGTACGGGCGCAGAGCTTAGTTCTCCAAGACGACAGGAGTGATGCGTGTTCTTTCCAATCTCTTGCCTCACCGCAGAGTTGGTAGTTGTGGATCATTGTGCGTCCATGTCAATATTACATCGCACTTGTGTTGAAATGACGCTGAGGTGAACATGAGTCTCTCAGCATTCGTCCGGACCTGGCCGGGTTGAAGGGAGTACCGAACAATGCGCAGCTCCATTGCCCGCGAGCAGTCGGAGCCGAACCGGAACGGCGGCAGTCTATCCGTCTTGAACTTGGCAAGGGGCCGTCCACAGGATTTGACCAGCCAAGATGCACACGTGAAATGGGAAGCCCATGGTGATGCGGGACCTTGGATTTATTCGTCAGACACATAGTGATGGTGTTTAGCCAGTAGCGAGCGAGTTTAGAAAGGACGGCCTGGCGTGGGTGGAAAAAGAAGCATGGACTGCAATGAAGCGGACAGTCAAGCTTGAGAAGCGAGACACCGTTCGGCATCGATGTCGAGCAAACGGTCAGGCCAGGGTACGTAATGGAAGCTGGCCAAAGACATGCCCCTCGTGTCCATTTGCTGCCCCTTCTTCAATCTCAACACACACCACCAGCACTCCAACATACCATCACCCTCAGATCCGTCAGCTTTTTCTTCCCACGCCTTTATGCCCCGGAACTCACGCAAGCGGTCCGTAGACTCGTCAGAAGCCACCACACCAGCAACCGTCTCCCAGCCGCAGACGTCCATCGCCTTCCCTCCGCGAGTTGCATCACCGCAGGTAGACTACATCAAACGCAAGCATCGCGCTGAGTACAACCAATCTGGCGAGCCCTCTTACTCGTAACCTCCACCTGCAGACGTATAGCTAACTTCTCGGTGCTTGCAGACCACGTTTCAAACACCAGCTCCTCAAGACTGCGCAGGCACGACCAAGGCGCCGCGCCCCCATCGACGCTCCAGAATTCGGGCCCTCGCACACCCCCACAGAATCACGACCCAAAACTACGGCCCCTCCTCGCCAAATTAGCCCCAGACAGCGACGGCCAGGCAATCGGTTCGTTCTCGGCGCCGCAGCAGCCGCGCCTACAATCGGCCACACCAGCCCAGCATCCCAGCTGTCGAGCCTCAACCAAGCGCGCGAACGCGGATACGATCCCGGCCAGCAGGACACAAAGCCGTCGCATGTGGGATGCCCTGGAGGACAAGAAGTAGACAGAGAGATTGCGCGAGAAATAAGGAGTGCGCCCTCCGTTTGTTTGTCCGTTTCACGATCCGGCCACCAGGCCGCGTTCCCACACTCCCCAAACTCTTCCAAAAGCAGCCAAAGCGTCCTGCTTCGGATCTTCAAAGACGAACGACCTCATCCCAGAAGACCATCCAGAGCAAGTGCCTTTTCGCAAACTCAAACGCACCCATGTTCAAACCTCCCCAGGCTCGAGGCCTGACGCACGACGACGACGACATGTATCGCAAGGTGTTTTTCTCGCGCGGTTGTCGTAGCGCTGCACTGGCACTATCAACCAAAATTCCTTCAATTGCTCCCACAGGCGACTGCGATGCGCCGCGACCCCATCGAATGGACCGACCGAATTTCAACGATGTTCAAGGTTCGCATCCCCCTTTCTCCCTCCCCTTCTCTCCCCTCGCAATCGCCGAGCTGACAATCAACCACCAGCGACCAGCCAGAAAGCCTGGGCAATCCACCTCGCCTTCCTCGACGTCAAGCCCGAAACGGGGCCGCCTGCCTCGCTCGACGAGCACTTAGGCATCCGCGCGGCGGACGGCATGAACGTGGACATCTCGCTTGCCGCCTTGACAACGGTGCCGGTCCCGCACGAATGTGCTCATGACGAAACGAGAGCGCAGCGTCTACGTTTTCATGGCGGCCCTGCGCGCACCGCGGCGAGAGCGGCGGCCGGGCTGAGAGCCGTCTGCGGGTACAACGCAGGATGGGCAGATCAAAATGATGGAAGTGTCTGTATGGAGCTGCTGGGGGCGTTTGGAACGGTATCAGGCGATGGGGCAGCTAACTATCCTTTGTGCCTGGCTTGGAACATATTGGTCAACGATGGAGAGCCCGCGATGCCTCGACCTGCGGCTACAGCCTTCTTTGTGCCCGCTTTGGAACACGTTGGTCAACAACAGAAAGCTCGCGATGCCTCGGCCACGCCTGCAGCCAGGGCCTTCTTTGTTCAGGTAGACAAGAGAAAAGACGAGGCGGTTGTCTCTTTTGAAAAGAATCTTTTTCGTGGACAGCAGCACAGTGGCTGTTGTTTTTCTAAAATACTGATCTCCTCGCGTCTGCTGGCCCATTTCTCTTCCTCATCTTCTCTTTCCACTCTCTGCCACCATACCAACCACGACAAACGCCTACCATGTCGCAACTGCACTCCGAGTTTGAGCCGCAGGCTCAAGATGCCCAAAGCCCGCGGGAGCGCCCTCTGCCCCAGACTCAAGAGGCCGGTAACCCACCGGAGCGCCCACTGCCGCCGATTCCATCCGAGAAGGCCGTTCCACCCAAGGAGGCCGCCTCATCCAAGAGTGCCGTCCCACCCAAGGAGGCCGTCCCATCCAAAAACATCGTCTGGCACGAGTCTCAGGTGCAGAACTCGCGACATTTCCAGCGCTTCTACCACGACCCGGCGAAATACGCCGCCAGGAACCTACTCACGCCAGCCGACATGGCAACCGCTGCCCGTATCGCACCGTTCTATTCGGATCTCCAGGAGAATGAATTGCCGTGGCCGAAGGCCTGGGAGACGGATGCGGCCCCGCTAAAGCGCAAGCTGGCGCACCATTCCTGGAAGGAGGCGTTGAAGCGGAACGGCATAGACCCCCCTCCGGCTAGGGACGGCCCCATCGACAACGGCCCCAGCAACGGCAAAGATGGTGTCGACAAGGAGGGTGGCGTCAGCGAAGAGGGCCTCTCCAATAGCGATGCAGACCAGGCCGACGTTGTCAACCCCAACAACGGCAGCGCCTCCGGCAAAGAGGGCCCTGCTGTCAGCTACGCTGACCAGAACCGCGTCAACTCCAACAACGAGGACCCATTTGATTATTACCTCAAGCACAACGCCTCTCACACCGGCAGCGCCTTCGGCAAAGAGAGCGTTGCTAGCAGCTCCGCTGACCAGAACCGCATCGTCAATTCCATCGACACCCAGAATCGCAAGCGCCCTGACTTTTCCCTCGGGCCCCAAGGACTCCTGCATGGGGCTGACTCGGAAAATGCAGCAGGAGGGTACGGTAGCGGCGGTGCGACGATTCTGGCCGTGTCTAACCAAGTACCACTTGAACCTAGGCCGAGACGAGTGGATCGAGAGCCAGCGGTCCTCGGCCTCAGCGAACTCTGCAAAGAAGGCGACCGGGACGCGCAGGTTCGGCGTTTCGACCGGTGGTGGAAGCAGCTGACCCCCGAGCGGCGGAAGGCTATTTTGGACGAAAGCAAGCAGGGCGGCGGCGAAGTTCAGTGACGGGGATGGCGTGGTAGGTATGCGGTGAGCTGCTAGTGGAACTGCTGTTGGTGGACTCAATGTACGGTATTCGAAAGTGGTCTCTACTTGGCGTATGGATAGCCTGCGTCGTGATGCATGGCGATGTCCGAGTCCTGGCTTCTGAGCTGCCTCGTGTGGAAGATACGCGTCGTAGAGTCATCAAGGCACATGCTTCACAATCCTCAAAGGTCCCTGGCAGTACCCTCGAGCTTGTCCTTGCCGACGTAGATGAAGTTAGAGGGGTCGACGACCGTGAAGCTGAAGGAGTAGACCATCGTGGCGGGCGCGACCGGAACGGAGGAGGGGAAGGGGAGGCAGGCTTCCTTGCGGCGGCGGCGCTTGGCGGTGGTTGTGATTTTGATCTGTCACTGCGGGGATCTCAGTGGTGGTTGTGATTTTGGCGGGGTGTTCGTCTCTTCTTTTTTTCTTTTTGGGCTGCGACGGGGAAATTTCGTGGGGGTGGGCACTGCATCCAATGATATCAGAGAATTTCGCACAAACCCCACTTGTGTCTGTTCCGTGATGCTTACATAACAGGGCGTTCTGGCTTTTTTTAAGCCAGACCACAAGTTAGGTACACAGGTGCGCCACCTGCCGCGCCCAACCAGACTGTCAGATTGCAGGGGTTAAAATGGCGCTTCTTGGCCGCCAGGGGCAGCCCGGATAAATAGATAACCCGCCCGGCGAGAACGGCGGGCCCTGCGAAAACCGCGCGCAGAGTTTTGCCCGGGCCCAGGGATACGTAGACAATACTCTGTACACATCCAAGTCAATTTGTCACAGACACCACAACCGTCAGCCAAGCTGCCTTCCCTAGTGCTTTCCTTATTTCAACAACGCTCAACCAAGCCTGCTGCGCGACAGCGACTTACACCAGTTGCGGTCCTGATCTAGAAGTCAGCATCTTCTCATGCTTCTGCATCAGCGTCTGCTATTTCCACTCTAGGGAGCAGATTTCCTGCTTGCGGTGGGTGGTGTCATCTGTCGCTTTCGCCTGGTGCGTTACCCAGGGACAGCTTGACGCGCCGCGCCGCTGCAACAACGACGGGGGCGACGACGAGTAGTTCGCCTTTGCTGCGGCGCTGGTCTTGGTGCAGCTGAGGTGAGTGTCCCGCGAGAGGACTGAGGAAGGCTGTCCAGCATTTCTACTGGAGAGAATTGTGGGGATCGTGCGAAATTTCGCACAGGAATGCTGCGTCAGGCTAATCAGGTGAAGCCATTCAGTGGGGCATGAACGAGCATGCACACTGCAGTGTGGACTGTGTCCCGTGGGGTATCAGCGAGAGCGGTGCTGCGGTGCAGGTGGACTGCACAGACTGATACCAGTGATGTGACTGGCCAGCCTTAGGATACCGCTAGTATCGTAAGGGCAGGCCAATCAGAGAGACGGTTCACCTTTAGGATACCAGTATCGTAAGGGCAGGCCAATCAGAGAGACAGTTCACCCTTAGGATACCGTCGGTATCATAAGAGCAGGCCAGTAGTGGCACTGTGTGCTCTAACCCGAGGTCAAGTCAGTGTCGGCACCGCACCGCCGGGAGCCAAAGTCAGGGCCGCCTGTAATCCATGGCACCGCCGTTCGGGAGGTTCACTTAGACGGATTTCTCAGTGGACCCAGCCTTGTAACTGCCGCAAGTTAAGGGTTTCAGAGAAACGCTGTGCTTCCATGTGCTTGAGAATTTCGCTACAAGGGCTCCGTGCCAGCTGGTAAGAAGGTATCGGAGACCAGCGACAGCTCCAATACATCTCTTGAGACCCCCCTTGCCCAACCTGCTAGGCGTCCCAAAGGCATAATTGACGACAATGTCTCATCCTCGCCGAGCCGCACCAACATCCGCTAGCAACTTTGTCGGGCGTCGTTGGACGGCTGCTAGTTTATTGTCTGCCCTTATGATACTGGCGGTATCCTAAGGGTACGTACCGTCTCTCTGATTGGCCCATCCTTATGATACCGACGGTATCGTAAGGGTAGCCAATCATCTCAGTGGCATCAGTGGGCCCCCGTCGCCCACGCTAATCACCAGAAGCAGACTCACTGCGTCGCGCAGGGACGCGCAAGTCAACTGAACACTTCGCGCACAATCAATGACTACGCGCGCGATTGATTGTCACAAGCGAAGTTGTGTGGGCACGTCGCGCAGGGAGGTGCAATAGCTGCGACCTCATACTTGCTAACTCGCTGCGGCGCGTCATCCGGGCTTAGGTCCTGATAATCGCTCTCGACCGACTTAAAATCGAAGCCAACACCTGTGTACTTGCCGACGAGTTCATTGCCCACCGTCTAGGTCTCATTCCCCCATATTCGAAGGATGTCCACAACTTATTTTCTCCTGCGAGCGTACGGCGGTAACTGCAATGTCAAACTTGCCCTGACGCACGCTGCAACTCTGATGATGAAAGTTGGATTCATCCCGCACCGGCGTCCCGTCCGGCAGGGTAGCTCCATTCAGGCTACGGTGCACTCAGACCGGACAGGACGCCGGTGAGCGGGCTCGACCGGCTGGCCTCGCGCACCGCCGATTGCCAGCGAAGTGTTCACTGCCTGCTGAAGTGGCAACACCCGGCCAGGACGGTTGGTGCACTGAGTCTGGGTTGCTGTCCCGCGCTACAAGAAACGCACCGCCATCCATGCTCGTCGGGAAAAATGCACGTTGTCGTAAACTAACTATAACGTACGTATAGCATCTGTGTGAATAAAACGGCTTGATTCCTTCTAACTTAGAGTCTAACGCAAAAGGTCTTTTAAAAAGTAAATCCTAACGTGTTAGAATATTATTAATCTAAATAAATAAGTTAGAAGTAAGTTATTTTATACTTTCTTCTAAGTATAAAGTTACTTTAAATACTTAAAAGTATTATAATATACTTCTTTAAGTTTAAAAAAACTTAAAAACTTTAATTTTATATAACTAATATTATAAAATCTAAATATATATATAAAATATTATAAATAGATATAAAGAGAGGTAATTAATAAAAGAAATTAATAAAAAAGATAACTTTATAGCTTTATTATTAAATTATAAAAAAGAAAAAAGTTTTTCTTTTTATATATTTTCTATTATAGTTAAAATTATAAGTATTAAAGTAGTAATTAATATTATTATTTTACTTAATAGAAATAGAGGCTTCTTATTAATTTAAATAAAAAAGTTAAAATAGTTATTAAAATAGTAAAGTAGTAATAATAATAATATCTCTTATATTACTTCTATTTTTTAATTTTCTTTCTTTATTTATATTATAATTAATATATATATTACTTACTTTATACTTATATATAAGTATATAGTTATATAGTAATTATAATACTTATTATTTAATTATAATTCTATTTTTAATATTAATTATATTATTTAAATACTTCTTAAGAAGACTAAAGCTAAATATATAGCTATAATAGCTAAAGTAAAAGCTATTTTTACTAATAAGAAGTAGAAAGAGAGAAAAAGAGAGGAAGAAAAAAGTAATAATACTTTTTTAGCTTTCTTAGAATTTAAAAACTTTATATTTAAAAATAAGTTACTTTATTTCTATTCTATTATTTTAAAGTTCTTTTATTATTATAAACTTTTTACTTTATTTTATTATTCTTATAAATTAATTATTAATTTAGGTTATTTTATAGAAGTTAAAACTAATAAGTTTAAGAAGAGTAAAAAGTTTATAAAGAGTAGAAGAGCTAAAAAAGTATATAATTTATAATTTATAATTTTTACTCTTCTATTTACTTATAAACTATACTAAAAGTATAAATAAAGTATATCTCTAATCTATAGTTCTAATTAAGTTATTATATTATTTATTAACTTTTAAGTAAAAATAGAAGCTTTAAAAGCTAAAAGTTAAGAAGAGGAGTAGCTATTATTATTAAGTAATAAGATTTACTTATTTTATTTATAAAATATTTAATAAAGTATATTACTTAGTATATATATACTTAATATAAAGTAAGGAAATAAATATACTTTTTATAAAGAGAAGAAGAAACTATATATCTTTATATTACTACTTATTTCTATACTAAAGCTTTAATTCTTTAAAGTTATATATAAAAATATAAATAAAACTATATATTTTATATTATAATATTTATATTATTAATTACTTAGCTAACTATTTACTAAAATATCCTTATTCTTAAGAGAATTATACTTTAAGAGGCTTTTAAAACTTATAATAAAGCTAAAGTAAAAGCTAAAGTAAAGGCTAAAGCTAAGGTAGAAAGTAAAAATAGTAGTAAAATAGCTATTAAAACTATAGCTTTTCTTTTAGTATTAGTTATTATTTTATTAGTTAAGCTTATTATAGAGGATATATTAATCTCTAGTATTTTATATATTAGTTTATTTTCTAAAGTAATTCCCTCTATTTCTAAAGTAGCTAGTATTTATAACACTATTAATAGCTTTATTAGTAGATATTTTCTTAAGAAGATAAAACCTATATATAATATCTTTATAGATAACTATATATTTACTCTCTAGAGATATAAATAAAGTATAATAGTTATATTACTAAGTACTTTATAAAGTATAAGTATTTTAAGCTTTTAAAAAAGCTATATACTTCTTAGTTATTAGGCTATTTTTAATTAAATATTTAGCTTATAAGTTTTACTTACTACTTATCTTTTCTTTTTTACTTTACTCTATTATTTATAATATATTTTAAAGGTTTAAAAATACTTTAAACTATTTAAACTTTATATAAGAAAGTGTTTTTATAAAGCTATTAGTTAATATCTTATTAATAAGAAGATATATAACTTAGAATAATTACTTAGTATATTTTTAGTAAAGTTATATATTTTAGATATCTATATAGTAGAAGTAAGTTAAGATATATTCCTTTTTACTTATTATAAATTATATTATTTACTAATTATTATAATAAATCTTCTATATATTTCTAAAACTAAGTTTAAGATCTCTAAAAAGCTACTTAAAAGCTATAATTTCTTTTATAGTATACTTTAA